TCTCATAGACCGCCCTTGCTGCCCTCAAAGAATGAACAGATGCATTGTTGTGTGGGCAAGTTTCCCTCCATGTAGTGCTCCTGGCCGGTTTCTCACCAGGGCAGTGCTCAGTTGTCTTAAAACTTCTTCCCAATGAGGCCCCATGATCATCCTGTGTCTTTCAATGGCCCTTTTTGAGTAGCAAAATGCAGTAACCACATCCTTCTGAGTTTAGTCCTCTGCCCTGAATTGACCTGGTACAGAAGGTCCCTTCAGAAGCCACTCCTGTGATGGGACCTTTGTTTAAAAAGCACCCTAGGGAGATTACGGAGGACAGTGGCTTTCTAAGATACACTCTGCACTTTGAACCACAAGGTCGGCGATTGAAACCCACCAGCCACTCCACAGGAGAAAGACCTGATGCTCCCACAGGATTTACGGCCTTGGAAACCCTACACAGGGTATCTGTGAGTTGGAACAGACTCAGTGGCATTTAACAATAACAACAGAGACTAAGTTAAGCGTATACCTGGGAGAACTTGTCTACAGCCATCCACTGATGGCAAAGACAGGTTTAAACATGTTTTGTTTGACACAAATCCATGCAGGCAATGCTAGAATCCCAACAATAACATGTTTTGCTTTGCTTTTCATATTGTCTCTAGCAGCTATGTATTAGCTCTCTGATAGACTATCTTATCCACAATAGCCATTGGTGTAGGTCTCTTTTGTTGTTGTTAGGTGTCATCGACTCAGTATTGACTCATAGCTACCCTATGAACAACAGAATGAAACACCGCCTGGTCCTGGACCAACCTCACAATCACTGCTACGCCTTACCCCATCACTGCCACCATTGTGCCAATGCATCTGGTCCCTCCTGATAATACATCCGAAGTATGATAGACAAAGCCTGGCCATCCTGGCTTCCAAGGAGATCTCTACTTCTGATTGTACTTCTTCCAACACGGATCTGTTGGTTCTTATGGCAGCCCATGGCACTTTTAATATTCGCCTCCAACACCATAAATCAAAAGCATCAATTCTTCTATGGTCTTCCTTATTCACTGTCCAGCTTTCTCATGCATATGAGGTTATTGAAAATACCATGGCTTGGGTCAGGCGCACCTTAGTCCTCAAGCTGACATCTTTGGTCTTCAACATATCGAGATCAGTCATGAAGTACAATGCTGTCTGTGATAGGATAACATCCATACGCCTATAAGGAAGACCAGTTAATATCACTATTATTGAAATATATGCACCAACCACTAAAGCCAGTGACGATCAATTTGAAGAATTCTACCAACCTCTTCATTTGGAAATTAATCAAACATGCAATCAAGATGTATGATAATTAACGGCGATTGGAATGCAAAGGCCTTGGTGATAGTAACAATGCTGGAGATCGCATGATAGAATTTTGTAAGACCAATAACTTGTTCATTGTAAAAACCTTTTTTAAACAACATAAATGACAACTATACACATGGACCTCACCAGATGGAAGACACAGAAATCAAATTGATTACATCTGTGGAAAGGGACGGTGGAAAAGCTCCATATCATCAGCCAAAACAAGGCCAGGGACAGACCATCAACTGGTCATATGCAAATTGAGGCTGAAGGTGAAAAAACTAAACACGATCATGCAATCCAAAATCTGACCTTGAATATATCCCACCTGAATTTAGAGTTCATTTGAAGAACAGATTTGATACATTAGGTCCCTCTTAGCCATAGTTTTCTTGGGATACCTCCTCTTGGCCTAGACAGAGCCAAGAATGTGTGATTTAGGGAAGGTCACCATCCCTGATGTTATCACTTCAAGGGTGAACTCACATGGCACAATGCTTGACAACTGTTACGAATCAACTTGTGTTTCCCTAAAATCTGTTGTAAATCTTTACCTTCCGAAGGAACCCTGGTGCACCGGTTAAGTGCTGGCCTGCTACCTGGAGCTCCACAGGAGAACAATCTGTTACCATAAATAGTTAAATATTCAGGTATACAAAACTCTGTGGGCAGTTTTACCTTCTCCTATTTGATTGGTGTGGCACTGTGGGTTAATGTGTTGGACTGCAAAGTCAGTTTGAACCACAAGGTTTGCAGTTCAAGCTCAGCAGTCGCTCCTTGGAAACCCGACACAGGGTCACCATGGGTTGTAACTGACAACTGATTTGACTACACTTAACAACAATATAGGGTTGCTATGAATTGGAATTGACTGGATAGCACAATCAGGGTTATATTCTCAGTTAGGAACAGAGATCTGTTTGATATGCTCCTAAGATCATATTAGTGTGGTGGTGGTGGTGTTAAGTGTTGTTAAGTCAGCTCCAGTTCATAGTGACATTTCCCAGGAGTTAGTGAGGCAATGTAGGATAAGCACTGAACTGGGAACCAAAAGGTCTGAGGTTTGAGCCCACTAGCTGCTCCGTGAGAGAAATATGAGGCTCCTGCAAAGATTAACACTGGGGCCATTTATGAGTTGGTGAGCTCTGGTAGCGTAGTGGTTACAAATCGGGCTGGAACCGCAAAGACCGAAGTTCAAAACTACCAGCCGCTCCACAGGAGAAAGATGAGGCTTTCTGCTCCTGTAAAGATTTACAGCCTCGGAAACCCTGTACAGGGTCACTATGGGTCGGAACCAACTCGACGACACTTAACAACAACAACAACAACCAACTCAACAGCACTTAATAACAACACAAGTGTAGGAGAGATTTTAAACCTATAACTTTTGAGACTTAAGAAAAGTAGATTAGGCAGGAGAAAGCAGGAAGAGATGAGGGAAGATGGATGCCTTGTGTGAATCTCCCAAGAACTCTAAATCAACACTAGAGAAGCTGAGACAAGGATTTCCACCAAAGTGGGCAGAGAGTGACTTCTCCTAAAGCCAACTCAAACCACGAGCTGCATTAGGCAAATATGCTGCACAAGACCTCTTTAAAGTGTTCAGACTCTAAGAGTCCTTAGTTTGAGAACTAAGGTGCCCTTGATCCAAGCCATGGTATTTTCAATGGCCTCATAAGCATGTGAAAGTTAGAGAAGACTGAAGGAGTACTAACTGCATTTGAGTCATGGTGTTGGGAGAATATTAAAAGTACCAAGAGCTGCCAGAAAAGCACATCTGTATTGGAAGGCATACAAGCAGACTGCTCCTTAGAAGCCAGGATGGCCAGACTTGTGTCTGCAGAGACCAGTCATGGAGAGGGTGGAGAGGGGCATCACGCTGTTAAGTGGGGGTCAGTGAAGGAGAGGAAGACCCTCAAGATGGACTCGCACAGTGGGCTCCGGGGTAACAACTGTGAGGACGGCAGTGTTTCCTTCTTTATGCAAAAGGTCCTATGTGTCAGAACCAACTGCGCAACACCAAACCACAACTTTGTTGTTGTTAGGTGCCATCGAGTCGGTACTGATCCATAGTGACCCTGCACAGCAGAATGAAACACTGCCTAATCCTGGGCCAATCTCACTATTGTTACCACGCT